TATTTCATCACTCATTCAAAAACAAATTTCTCATCGACTTCCATCGTGTCAGATTGATCATCAGTTATAATATCTTCGATATTAAAAGGTACATTTGTATGAATATCTTCGGTTTCATCAAAATGAAACTTAGTTAAAACTTTATGTTTTCTTATCCATATTGGTTTATGAAAACTTGTAAGGCTTTCAAAATAATCAGATTTTAAGTCTTACACATTAGTGAAGCAGTAGTCAATCTGCGTTTTTGCATTAGTTGAATCTCTATTTAGTATATTATTCAAACTAAGTCCGAATGATTCCATATATTCAATAAATTTGTTATTGATTTTGATCTTCAAATTTATATTAAAATCACCAACGACAATTATATTTTCACAAAATCCTTTTGAAATAGTTATAACTTCATTAATATGTCGTTTTATTTCTTCGGAATTTTAGGTAACTTACGAATGAAATTGATATTTCTCTCGATAATATTAATGTTGATAGCTTCATAACCACGAGGAGCTGTAGGACAAGGAGATATTATTTATTTATATTATGACTAGAGTTAAATAACTCACTTTTCATAATATCAAATCTGCAGGTGTCAGCCACAAAAAATTTCTTTGGACGAACCTGATCAATTATTGAAGCTTCTCGTGCGAAAATACCAGACCATTCAGTTTTATCTTTACTGGAAAACAAATGAAATTAAATACCAAAAAAAAGGATCATAATTACCGCTTGATAAAACCAAAGTGTTTAAATCGATTAACGGTAACAAAACTACCTTTAACACCTTTTTCTAATAATAAAATATTCGTTTTAGTTTTTAAATTATAGATTTATTACCAATAAGAACACATTCATTATTCTTCGAAATAACAACTTTACTTTTGATATGAGTAGTCGTTCGATTACTCTCAGTATTTATTCCTTCATCATTGTCTATAACAACTGATTCATGACCAGGTGAATTTTTACTACTAGTTGCCATTGATTGATAAGACAAAAAGAAAATAAATCAAAGTAAGCACGAACGCAAGTATTATTAATATATGAACAGTGGTATAGAATTGATAATTATTCTTAGAATTATATTGTATCAAATTCAATATGAAACAAGACCTTGCTATGACCAATTTCAAAGCTTGAGAGTGTAATTGATTCTATTTTTGAACAAATAAAAAACAAAGTGAATATACCTTTGTTACAGTGATGTCGCACGTTAACATATTCACTATTGTCTTGCTATCCTCTATCCTCTTTCACCTTCTTTTGATCTCTATTGGTATCTGCTTTTCTTTCGTTCTTCATATGCATCTTATATATGTTTCGTTTGTTTTTTCCAGTCTACATATAATAAAGTTAGTGCATAAACATCAGCACATATAACACCTTATATATATATATATATATATATATATACAGAAAAGAAAGAAAACGAAACTCTAACAACCTTTTCACTTTTTGAAGTACACATAACACTCGGATTTAAATCCGAGGTTTTCGCATTTATTTTTAATAAATACAATACATTCCTAACATATAATATAAAATTTAAGAGAAGAACAATTTTAGTCTTTTCTTTGTTTTCTCAAATTCTAAGCGTACAAATGAGACATTGTCGTCCATTCGTTCATATTACAATCGACAATCGATCGTTTGACTAATAATAGTAGAAAGATAATTTCCAAAATATTTTATATAGAAAAAAGACAAGTGAAAGAAGAAAAATGAATAAAATAATCTTACTGCAGTAATCGTTTCAATTGCTGTATGCAATTTTTTTTGATCAGATCATTTTCAAACTGAAAAGAAAAGAAAGAAAATT